ACCAAGAGGACCAAGGAAGGGGGCGGGGAGGGGGGACCTCACTAAATGAAACGTGTCCAGAGCATTTTTTCCTTAGCCTGTATTTTCTCTTCTTCGTGAATAGTGGATGATTTTGAAAGTAAGGAATGCTACAGACATGACATTTTTAAAAAGCTCTGGACCGTGCAAAACGACAGTCCTCCAGCTTGATCACCGTAACCAATTTTTGCTCTCGCATCTTACGATTATCACTCTGCTATATTTGTAACTCCACCAGCTTGTTATTTATATTATTACATATCCTAAACCCTCCGCCCACCACGACTCCGGCTTGAAAAAGAAAATATCTGCTATAATGATGAAGGAACAAAAGCCATCAACATGAACTGCAAGATAGAAAACAATTGGATTTTTCTTATAGGATCAAAGAGTCAAAAATCATCCTTTCTGGGGCTGTGGAACATCAAACATGGAGACTTAAAAGTGTCACCTCAGGAATTAACAAACTCCAGAATGTGTGTCCAGCCTCATACCACTTTGAGACTGAAGGTACATTGTAGGAACCCGTCCACATCACAGCAAAATAATCAAGTGGACTTTGAAGAGGCATAATGTGACTTGCAGAGAGAGTACCCTCTGTCTTTTCTGCCTGCCAAAGGTGTGGCCTTTCTGTTCAGAGCGAATGTCACCAGGAGGCCACTTACACTAAACACCATAGTACCACCCTGGCTTTTAGGCTCTGAGTGTATGAAGTCAGCCTGGGACTACAAGGAACTAAAAAATGACCTAACTTAACCAAGTGAAGGTGACAGTTCTACTGTTGAACATTTTATTGAACATCAGTAATGCATCACAGTCCACCTGCAACACCACCCCAGACTAGGAATTCACTCATGTACATAGATGGACAGGTAACCAGGGGTTGTTTTGACAACAAACAGGGAAAAATAGGAATTACTTAGATTATTGACCTTTTTAAAAAATAAATAAATAAATGACTTGTCTTTGGAGACTGTGATAGTAGCTGAGAGAAGAAAAACTTTAATCTAGATCCTCAAGTAAGTCATACAGTGAAAACAGATGAGCTCTGCATCGACATCAGAATTTTCTGGAAAGTCCTACCAAACTTCAAGCAAAGCCAATAGAACAGCATCCTTACTTTCAAAATTAGGTTATGACTCACTTTACCAAAGGTCCATTTATTTTACTAAGGGATTTACTTCTAAATTCCTGCAAATAACATTAGCTCCTTGAGTGCATTTCTAATAGGATTAGAATTATAAACATTTCAAACTAGACTCAACTGTCAGAGACAGAAATGTGAACTACTCAGGTAATTAACACATGTCCCTAGGCTAATAGAGGCCTTGAAATAGGACTCTGCTTGGGGACGACACACCCTTAATCTAATGATGCCACACTTTAAGCTTGTTGGTCGCCATCTCACATTTGTAAAACTGTCTTTGATTCTAATAAAATGAGTGTGATGAGAGCTCAACACAGGATAACATAGCATCGCCACTGGCAGGTGACTTTAGAGGTCACCTAATAAAACCTTCCTCCAAGGTCAGAGGTCCCACAAGCACATGACTGATTGCTTCTGCTTAAGCATTTACATGGACAGAGGAGGACTACTTTTCAAAGCTCTATGTGTTCCTCAACTTTGATGGTACAGAATCTCATGTGGACCAGTTAACATTTACAGGTGAATAAGTGAAGTCACGATATATGAATGGGAGGCAGTGAAGGGAAAAACGTATTTTTATTTTAATCATCTCTGTTCTGATGAAACGTTTGGTTTCCTGACCCTTCCATTTTGAATGTTCTATGTAACTTCACTTCATTTGCACCCTTTCTGCAACACTATCCTCAGATTCACATATTATCTAATTCAGAAGAATGACAGCACCAAAAGTTCCAGATCCTTGAGATAAATTTCTTGCAAACCACCTATTAGGTTACAGTAGCATATCCATTCACCTAAGAAAATGTTGAGAATATCATGAGCATCATGGAGACACAGAGAAGAAAAGCACCTAAGATTTCACAAATACTTTAAACTTTCAAGAGCCTGGCATTCTCTAACCGGGGGTGGAACCTGGTGGACACTGACCGAAGCCAATAATTAATTGGCATCTATTTGTGGGTGGCCATTTTCGTCTAACATTGGGCAGATTACGCAGATAGAAAAAAATACAGCAGACATGGGTCTCTGCCGTGAAAGATCTTCCATCTTGTCACTGGGGAGACAGGACAAATACAAAAGGCCAAGGAATAAATCGTTAAACTAACATTTAGTGTTTGAATTGAAAGAAAAGCGGGATAATTTGTGGATTTGCTAATTATACTTCTGTGCCACGCACATTAGCCCTGAATGGCGCATCCATGGCTCAACCTGACTTCAGGGTTATTTCATCGAGGCCTCTCTAGATTCTTCCACATGTTTAGCTGACACCACTTACTACTCATGGTTTCTTATAGAACACACTCTGTTGTGGTGGCTGCTCTAGCTCTTCTCCGTTTAATGCAGAGCAAACATGAAAGTTAAAGACTTTCAACACCTATCCAGTATTAGTTTCCAAATTTAACATGCCAACATGGAAATAAGCTTCCAAAACCTAAAAAGCATTTTCATATAAATAGATGTTAAGCAGTTTTAAATACTTAGAAACAGTTCCTTTCGCACCCTGTTGCCAGCTTCTTTGTGTGTAATGTTAACTGGAAAAAAAAAGAAAGGAAAAGAAAAATAGCCCAAAGTGAGTAGCAAGTGAAAGCTTGAAAGAAACACAAGGAAGAAATATATGTAAATCGTTTGCATGAATTCTCAGTTCTCCCCCTTCTTAGATTTCAGCCTTACAGTATTCAATTTCACACTAAACACAGCAGAGATGTCTGAGACAAAGGAAGAAGAGAATGAATCGTTTAATGTACATTCTAGAAGAAAATAACCCCATTCTTTTCTGAGCAAATTCATGTCAACCGCCCTTCCTGTGCAGATGAATAAAAGCATTTTTTAAATAAAAAGTCACTATATATTTTGATGTTGCAAAAATAAATCTCCCAGATGTTTTGTGTAACTTCAAGAAGTAAAAAGCTTCCAAAGCATTGACTCGGAACATAGAAGCAGACTCTACAAGAATATGTTGGGCACTAAACCCAAAATAATATTACATGGAAGATACAGCACATTTTGCACTTTTTTT